GTGTGTGTGTGTGTGTGTGTGTGTGTGTGTGTGTGTGAGAGAGAGAGAGAGAGAGAGAGAGAGATCACATCTATTATACTGGAAGTTGAGCAAGTGTATGCCTCTGATATGGGTGATCTGCCTCCTTCTCCAGCAATCCTTGCATTCATCCTCAAGGGCTCTTCCTGGAAGAATTTAAGAATGCCATTTTCACAAAGAAACTGATAGGACATGTAGCACTTGGCCTTTCTATGTGCAGAAAACAGAAGTTTTCATCTGCTTTATACCTTTACTCAACCTTACTTATTTTTAGAACAATGACATAAGAGTTCTTACCTTCCCAGCCTCAAATCCGCATGATTATCCATGCCATTACAAGTTCATAATCAGTTATGTTAGTAATGTTAGTAATGTAATAAAAATAGTTAATAGTTTTCATCTCAGTCTTTGGTATGAATTAGCTTACTAATTACTTTTTACTAAAAAAAAAATCTGAGTTAAAAATAGGAATAGAATCAACTCTTTACCTCACAACCTATATTGCATTTTTAATAAAAGAATATCTTTATTATATTTGCATCCTGTTTTCACCTTGAAGAGCTCTATGTGTCTTAGGTAATATTCCAAAATAATTGATGCTGTTTACTGGGCCAGTTTCCTTTCATTCAGCAGCAGTACACTGTTCATCTTGCAGTTACATGATAATGTTTTTAACTTTTCATTAAAAGTCTGCATTTGACTCTGGCTGTGTTATTCCAATTTGGCTACAGGGAAATTAAATTACATGCTATATTAAGGCTTCTGTCCAGTTAAAAATACATATGGATTTAAAATCTGTCTACATATCAAAGTTAATAGAGTAAGTGGAAGAGAAATATTTTTATATAATACATGCATGAGTCCAAGCCAGATCTATCCTAAAAAGAAACAATCTCACAGAATAACTGTTATTTGCCTTTTTACCTACAATTCTAATTGTATTAATCTAATTCAGTTTTAATCAGCAAAAGCAGTTTAATTGTTTAATCTGGTACATTAATCAAGTAAATACCACTGACAATTCCCTAAAATCAAACAAATGAATACAAAATTGAAGTCTGAGGCAGTTCTGAGCTGAGGTTTCAAGTAGACTGTATGAACGAGAAAGCTGTTAAAGATATTTATTTAAAACTACATTATTAAAAATGCTATTTCAATCTCCCTGCTTCCTAGAGACTGTCTTTTTTTAGTTCAGGAGGACTGAAGGCAACAGTATTGCATATAGATGGATGTTACAATTCTATGGCCCTTTTATCTAAGACCTTTGCTATTTCCCCCCAATATGTCAAATGTTTCTGTCATGTTTCTATCATTTCTTATATATTTTGGCACCTTGGACTTACCCTTTAGTTTTTTATAAAAACTGAGAGCTCACGCCTCATTTCTACACCCTTTTTTGGTGTTGCTCATATATACAGACATGTATATATGTGTTTATACTCTCTCCCCCTTTGATACTGTAGCCTAGCCTGAATCCTGACTATAAAGGGTATAGATAATCTGCTTTATCCAGGACTCTCCACAGCTTTTTAGGGAAGATTGGAGACTGTATAGAAGTAATCCAAAACTGTTGGGTCTAAGGATGGCCTCTTGAGGAGAGGGCATATCATGGCCTCTTTCACAGCAGGCAGGGCCACCCTCTACTGCTAAGAGGCATTAATAACTCTTGACCAGCCAGGAGGGGCATGGGTCCAGACTACAGGTGGCAGAGCTCATAGCAACAAGGACATTGTCCAAATTCAAACGACTTTCTCCGAAAGATGCCTAGAATGGTTCTCACAGTGATCTTACAAGGGCTCTCTTGGTCTCTGGTCACCTGAAACAGCCATTGGCTGGTTATCTGTGGATTCAATAAGAGCAGACAAGAAAGCACATTTTGCAATTTTTATCACCGCAAGAGCCTAATAAAGGCTCTTATCTGTGCCCAGTCAGCTTCATCCTTTCATCCTCAGTCTTCCTCTAATGGCTCTCTAGGCATCTCTTGTATTGCTTCATCTCACAGAGCTCCTCTGTGAACCAAGACATTCTACAGGATCCATGACTGCAGAGTCCACACAGGCACAATTCAATCCAGAGCCCTTGTCACATGTTCATTCCAACCTATGGCCAAGGTCTTGGCTGAACCACATGCTAGAGCCTCAGGAATAACCCTAACCTCCCTCTGAAACCCTACTGGGTCCATCAGTCACCTGGGGAGGGGTGATTGAATAAGCCCAGCCTCCCTGTAGTTCAGGCTGGCAACAGAGAACTCCGAGGCCAAGAGCAAGTGATCTCTCTATGGCAAGGTACTAATGTTAACATCCCCCAATCCCAGATCACTTTGCCACCACCTCAAAAGAAAAACCTGATCTAATGTGTGACCTCCACTGTAAGTCAGGCCATCAGTAAGCTGAATTCCTGAGCTATCTCTGATTCTGGGCTGAAAGAAGGCAGGTTGAAGTCCCCAGCATCATCAGTCTGGGGAACTCCACCACCAACTCAGCCACAGAATTCAGAAGCTCAGGAAGAGCCAGTGATATGCTGCAAGGAGGGAAGGAGATGAGCAGAAAGCCCAATTGATTTCTATGGTCCAATTTCACAAAGGGTCTAACATCCATTTATGTCTGGGGTGGTGCCCCTAAGGGCCACTAAGAGACTCCCAGATAACAACAGCTACAATCTCACTCCTGCCCCAGTCTCATGACTGATGCCACACTTGAAATTAGGAAGGACACATTTACAAGAGAGGAACACCCCCCTCCAGACCCAACTAGGTTTCAGTAATGCACTTCAGGTCAGCCCTCTCATCTATGATCAGATCATGGGTGAGATGCTTTGTTCCAGGCTGACCTGGCATTAAGCAGCAGCAGTTGGAGCCCAGGGCCTCCAAGGCTCTGCAGACCAGGCTTTGAGGTAGAGCACAGGGGTCTAGAATGCGACACTGCTGTTAAACACCAGGCTACCTTCCCCAAGAGTGGCTTGCCCCCTGCCTCCCACCATATCTTCCCTTACCCATCACCACCTCAGTGCGTCCTCTGCCCTCCTGCCTGACAACCCACCCCATCCCATGCCCTGCCCTCCCACCCCAAGTCTAAAAGGCCTATCATAATCCTACCAAACACCCCAACACTTCCATTCTTTGTGGGAGGGTATACCCAACCCAGGCTGGGTGCTTCTGCTTTGCATCCAGCAACTATGGCTGGGGCAGTTCTTCCCTACCACCAGTACATGCACTCTAACCCTCTTCCCCTCTCCACCAGCTCTCATGTGGATCACAGGGGAACCCGAAACTCAACACCCCTATCCCCGTCTCTCACATGAGGGTCAGGCAGCCTTCCTTACCACACTTCCACTTCCAAAATAGTCTCAACTGGTAAATCTCCCAGATCTTCTCCTCCATGCAACCAGATTCCAAGAGTAAATTATTCCAGGACTGCCCCAGCATCCCTGCTGCCAGGCACAGCCCAGCCTGTCCAAATCCCAAGTCTTGGAAAGAAGGCAATAGAGACCATCAAAATGGTCACTGCTACATGTGGCTGGTCAAGTGGCAGCTGTAGGACATGAGTTGACTCTCCTGCAAGACCACCAACCTGCTCCCAATCCTCCTGCTGCTATCCACCTGAGTCCACCATTCCATCAAGGTTTCTCACCACTAGGATGCCATAGCCACCACCACTTTGTTGTGCTGGTCTGATCCAACCTGCCTCTGCTCCATCTGGGAGAACTGGAAGAAGACAGAAGGAGGTGTAAGAGCTGGCACAAATTAAAGTGCATTTAGACAGTGTTACACTGTTAAGATTTGATGTTGATTTCAGTGAAGTGCAGTATTGGCTGTTGGACCCAAACTGGACTGTGTAGCGGTATACTATTGAAGACCTGTTAATTTGAGGGCAAATCAGAGGAGATTGCTGTTTGGTGACTTCAGGAAGATTCAGTGAAAATCCAAAGAGGAGGACGCACCGGGAATTTTGTCTTTTCAATGCAGATGAACCCTGAGAGGTTACACAGACAAGACATTCTACCAGCCAGTGCTTTCTAGGATATAAACAGAAATAGCCATGTGCACATACCTGTTAAAGCAACATTATAGCTTGTGAACATACAGTCAGGTCCAGAAATATTGGGAAATTGACACAATTCTAACATCTTTGGCTCTATACACCACCACAATGGATTTGGAATGAAACAAACCATACCACCTCATCAGTGAAGCATGGTGGTGGTAGTGTCATGGCGTGGGCATGTATGGCTGCCAATGGAACTGGTTCTCTTGTATTTATTGATGATGTGACTGCTGACAAAAGCAGCAGGACGAATTCTGCAGTGTTTTGGGCAATATTACTCTCCAGGAGGTAGGTGTATGCATACCACCTCATCAGTGAAGCATGGTGGTGGTAGTGTCATGGCGTGGGCATGTATGGCTGCCAATGGAACTGGTTCTCTTGTATTTATTGATGATGTGACTGCTGACAAAAGCAGCAGGACGAATTCTGCAGTGTTTTGGGCAATATTACTCTCCAGGAGGTAGGTGTATGCATACCACCTCATCAGTGAAGCATGGTGGTGGTAGTGTCATGGCGTGGGCATGTATGGCTGCCAATGGAACTGGTTCTCTTGTATTTATTGATGATGTGACTGCTGACAAAAGCAGCAGGACGAATTCTGCAGTGTTTTGGGCAATATTACTCTCCAGGAGGTAGGTGTATGCATACCACCTCATCAGTGAAGCATGGTGGTGGTAGTGTCATGGCGTGGGCATGTATGGCTGCCAATGGAACTGGTTCTCTTGTATTTATTGATGATGTGACTGCTGACAAAAGCAGCAGGACGAATTCTGCAGTGTTTTGGGCAATATTACTCTCCAGGAGGTAGGTGTATGCATACCACCTCATCAGTGAAGCATGGTGGTGGTAGTGTCATGGCGTGGGCATGTATGGCTGCCAATGGAACTGGTTCTCTTGTATTTATTGATGATGTGACTGCTGACAAAAGCAGCAGGACGAATTCTGCAGTGTTTTGGGCAATATTACTCTCCAGGAGGTAGGTGTATGCATACCACCTCATCAGTGAAGCATGGTGGTGGTAGTGTCATGGCGTGGGCATGTATGGCTGCCAATGGAACTGGTTCTCTTGTATTTATTGATGATGTGACTGCTGACAAAAGCAGCAGGACGAATTCTGCAGTGTTTTGGGCAATATTACACATTGTGTTTGTTTCATTCCAAATCCATTGTGGTGGTGTATAGAGCCAAAGATGTTAGAATTGTGTCGATGTCCCAATATTTCTGGACCTGACTGTATGTGCAGTTAAAGAAAACTTAGACTATATTTAGTAACACAGAAAAAAAAAGTTCTTCATGGCATTTTAAAAAGTCAAGTGGCAGTGTTATCAGAAGGTCAGACTGAGGAAGGATTGCTATGGAATTAGCTACTTGTATATTCTGCTTGAAGAATGGGACTGGGGAAAATGAAACTAACTGATGTCAATAGCTTTGATGTTTTTTTTAATACCCCCCCCCCAAATAAAGTTGTAGCTGCACCATGTCACATATGAATCTACAGGAAGTCCCTGTGATAACAAATCTCCAACTGTGTATGCATAGGATTACATACTAATTTCTGGGAAGGGAGGTGGAAAGAGAGAGATGGCTTCGAGTTTATACAAAAAGATGGGAAAGAAAGGTGGGTGCAAGTTCTGGATGGAAAACTCTAGCAAAAGGACAAATAATGGATAAGAAATGGGTGGAGACTTACACTGTGAGCCTTTTAAATGGATATAATCCTTCCATGCTTCCAACTGCAAGATTTCAGTTGCTTTTCCCAAAAAGGAAGCTTGTTGCAAAAGCTAAGAAAAATTCTGCATGAAATATAATCATTAACCTCACTTAAATATGAGAAATTGTTATCAGAACTGATTGGTGCCTAATCTAAATATTTCAAAATATTTCAGCATTGGTTATACTGAAAATCCATATACTTGAGCGCCTTAGAAGTCATAAAAATAAAGCTCTTGAATAAGATGCAAAAAAAATGCTGCAAATGTGTTGCGATTCAGTGACTGACTGGGAATGAATAGGATTATGCACAAAATATTTTCTCTCTACTTAACTTCTGTTAAGTTTAAACCTGAATGACTTGTTGAATCATTTAGTTATACTTTGGCAGACAATTTAATGTAAAATGTAACAGATGAAATTGGGATGGCATCTATAATTCAGCTGTATTTCTATTTTGTAGCAAAAATTCCAATTCTCACAGCTGGTGCCTCTGGTACATTGTGTCCATTGCAAGCTACATTTTTCAAAAAAGAGCATATAATACCATTTGAAGTACTCTGAACAAAATTGCTTCAAGAAGTTTCGATAACTGCAAAATTCCTCAAGGAACTTATTAATTCATTATTGTGTCCTCATTTTTCAGAACCAGAACATATCATAATGGGACAATATACATATTCAGCCCATATCAGTATTTAAACTATAGTTTTCTCAAACAAAGCTGAGTGTCTAAAATGAAGGAAGGAAAAAGAAAAATGTCACTGCTTTATTTTCAACTTAGTGTTAGCACTTAACAATAACCAACAATTTACATTTCTCCATTGTATACTCTACAAATACATAATCAGGAATATATAGAGAAATGAATAATTCTATAAGGCTTAAAAATGACATTTGTACATATTCTCAAAATGCATCAACTAAACTATAAGGATGTCTTTACCATATAGTTCTGGAAACATAAAAGAGCAAATATATTTACCAAAACTATCGAACAGAAATAAAAATATGCAATTTGGACAAAAATCTGACAACCAGCTAATCCATTGCCTATTTAATTATGCAGATACTTCTGTCTATGCATACAGCCCCATAAAAATTTGCATTAGGCCATTGTATGGATCCTTCTACACAGAATATATTAGGCAGCCTTCCAATAGGGAAGCCAACAAAAGAGCCTGTCTTAACAAGAACTCCAAGTAACAGAGAACGCTTTGGATCAGAGCTAATTAATACCAGCAATGTTGCAGATTGATCAGAACAATACCATACTTTAAGACACAGAGAAACATAGAATACCCAACCTTCATAATGTTCTGAGAAACATTAAATATTATATACACAGAGGTAAATGTACCTTTGTTTTTTCATGAGGTAATTTAAGATTAAAGCAATTTTTAAAAAATGTAAATAATTAAGATATTACTGAAACCATTTTAATAGTACAGTACAAACAAGCTAACTAAAAAGTGAATTCATGATGCTTAGCTGGCAATTCATTATTTTTTTAGAACAGCCATTTAATATAGGTTTGTGAAAGATTAATAAAAGATGGGCAGCAATTTAAATATTTAGTAAAATCCTTAACTTCTAAGCATTTTATTATTCCTCCAGGTTATTATAAGGAATTGAAGTTAATTCAATTCAGTCTTAACCTAAACTTGAGATTTTTTAGTTATGGGCTATTGTTCCTTATAAGCATTTTACAGATCTGATATGATCAGTACAGTATAACTATAATTCGAAATTTGAAATACTACTAAAAACAACAAAACTACAACCTTGTCAGTCTTTTACAGAATGTCTTAATTTTATAACTTTGTGTGTATAAATAAAATTATAAACACACAATATGTTGTAAAGCCTTATTGGGCTTTATGGGACTGTTAAAATCCCTTGAGAGTTGACAATTTTGTACGTTTTCCACCATTTTTAACTGTCATTGTCTGGTTACCAGTGTCTGAAAAGATGGCCAAACCTGCATATTATCCTCCACATCAGTATGATGAGAAAATTGTTTCAGTATTATCTTCACCATATAAAAATGTTTGAATGCTGAACTATTTTGGTCCCTTGGACTCTTAAGAACAAAAGATTATCATATTTCAAAAGAAGCCGATCAAGCTAGTTATTTAGAGAATTGTATTAGAAAAGTTGTGAATGTTTATCTAAGCTGAAGTTGGGGACCAGTTTCTAGGACTCTTAAAATATTGCCAAAAAGGAACAAACTCTCACTGTCACCATCTGCATTTTAGCTTTGACCAGGATGGGGATGGAAAAGGCTTCTCTGTCTTCTGTTCAAGCCACCATTATATATTTCTTTTCCAATGGATAGAGCACATGTTCTCTCCTTGGCAATTTTACCTTAAAATTGAGGAACAGGAAAAACAGCCGCAGCAGCAGCCGCAGCAGCCGCAGCAGCTGCCAGATAATTTCCATCCTTTTTCCCTCCTCTTGCTCTGGGCCCAGAGTATATCTGAGTAAAACTAGTTCTCATGAAGGAATGGCACAGTAAGCCTTGAGAAAATGGCAGTCCCCTAATGCCACTGCTTACAACCCTGAGGTACTCTGTTATGCATTGGAAGGATGAAAGAAGAGTGAAGAAAAGCATCTTCATTTCCTCCTCTCCTGCTACTGACACCTTTTCTATCCTCTGCTTGAAGAAAGGGGAACAATTAGAAGGGTGCTTTACAGAGACTGCCTTAGGGAATCAAAAAAGACAAAATGGGAAGAGAATAAATTATCTAGTCCTATTCGAGTGTTACCAAAAGGGTAGAAGAAAAAAAAAGGAAAGCTTTCTATAAAAAGCTTCCACAAAAACTCAAATCCCTACTGGTCAAGCTCACACGAATGCCTTTAAGTGTACAGCTGTTTTGGGTTACTTCGCAGTGTACTCCACTGTTTTTCATAATGAAATAAATCTTTAAAAAAATGGTTTAAAAAAAGCTCATCACTGCTATATAGTTTACTTCATCCCTTTAAAATTACTGTAAAGGTCTTAACTTTTATTTCATATGCAAATTGCATAAAGGCAAACTTAAGTTGATATCATGTTTTAATCTTTATTCATACTGGTTTTAAAACTATAGTAACTTTTGATTTATAAATTAACTGTTTTACAATATTAGTTATGATTAGTAATGTAGTGTGCAAAACTTAAAATTTACAAAGGCACACTTAAAATATATCAAATGACTCTGCATAGTTTTTTTATATTCTATATTATAAGTATATTGTCAGTTCATGAAATTATATCTATTGGTATCTAAATGTTATAGTTTATATGCCCCAGGTATGCTGAAAGAAACAAAAGCAAACGTATTACAAATTTCCAATTACTACATTAATATATAAGTGGGACGGGCTTGCACGAAGAGCTATGGGACATGCAAAAGGAGCAATACTGAACCTCTTGGTAGCAAAGATGGTAGCAAGAAAATGTCTATACTTGCCTCCATTTCTCCAAAGTTTGGTATCAGTACAATGAAAGCCAACATTAAAAACTATGTGTGTTGACCAAATCCACACAGCAAATCTAGATGCTAGAAAAATTTCCATTTTGCACAGACTGAATCCAGTAAGACTTTCTAAATACATTGTTTTTCTGCATGGATTGTCCTCAGTAAAGCATTTAGCAAATTTTAGCAAAGGACTTTTCATTGCACAGAAAGAACAATGTAAAAATATTTTTTCTGACATATGATATTTAAGTAGTAAGATTTATTTTAACGGGTTAGTGTTCATATCAAATGTAAAAACAACATCAAAATCCTTTACAAGTAAAGCTCTTTTTAAGAATTCCATATTTGACACCACTGTTCATTGTGATATATAAAGCATGGGAATAGCACAGAATTAATTGGTATACTTCAGTTCCTATTGTCTAGTGAATAAGAGCATTTGATAAAAATAAATTCATGCATGAGTATGAAATCATCATATAGCCAATCATCATATTATTTAATGCAGCTTGGTGCCATCCTGTAAGTTAGGATTCCCAACCAGCAGAACCCTGGCAATGCTGCATGGGAAATGCAGGAATTTGGTAATACCAAAGTATGTAGAAGATTGAGGAATGCAGATTTACTGTCATTATACAAGGATCAAGGACTTTGTATATCCTAATGAATTGCATTAAGAAAATTCAAAAGTGGCACTAACTAGTACAGTACAATGGTTTTAAAGGCAAGTAATGTTCTGATGCAAAAGACAGAAACATAATACAAAGTATTGCATAAATTGTGTATGTATGTTCCAGATAAAATGAGGTCACATATGTAAGTTCCAATGAAAGGCGTTCAATAATAGTGTCTTAATAATGAAACAAAATAATTTGACAGGAATATACAGTGTGTACCATCATGAACATATCTTTCTTATTGTCCTTCAGTGCTGTGCATGGCATGCGCAAGTTCCACTTTCCAGCTTGTTCTTTGTGTTTTCAATGTAACAGATATCAGTGTGGCCTTCGAAAAATAATTAAGAACCTGTACAACCATTTACTGCATCTATAGAAATCCTGGACTAATAACTGATTATCCTATCCTGTATAAAAGGCAGCAATATTCTTCTGTTCCCTCCGTGAGGTAGAACAATTCTTAATGCACAAGAAGGTGCACATATGGACTTTCAAATGTTTTCTTGAATACTATTTCCAAAATCACATTTTTATTCCTTCTTGCTGACTGAGTTGTGACAGAGTTTTCTTTATGCGTAAAGCTGTTAGTCTAGCTGCACCATTGGCATACCAGCATTCTCGCATAATCTTGGCCATTACTCGTAATGCCTGTAAAGCCAAAAAACAAAACAGGAAATAGTAGTTTGTGAGCCATTATTTGGTATCACAACCAAAACATTTTACCACATTTATCCATAAATGGAAATACAAAGTATGAGTCCATAATCTCAAACAGAACAGTCCTGACATTCATAATTCTTTTAATTCAAATTCTAAAATCAAAATATTGATTTTATTTTTTAAAAATTGCTTTATTTTTTAAAGATTTTAAAACTTATCTGAAGAAAAGAACTTACCTCACAGCTTTGCCATCTATTTGGAATATTGGGTCGTAGCTTCTGTTCACAAACAATTCTCCTCATTTCCTCAACTGAAGGATCAGAAGGGACAAGGTCATAATATGGTAACTGATAATCCTCATGGATTCCTGATAATATATAAACCAATATACAACTTAAGGTTCGTTTCTGACACTGATTAAAGTTAATTTTTTGTTTTTTTCTATTTGAACCTACCACCAACTGAACATCGGCGAGCTATTTCCCAGAATACTAGTCCCATTGCATAAATATCTGCTCTTTTGAAAGATTCAAAATGCTTCATGTTTATTGAATCATCAAGTACCTCAGGAGCCATGTACCTATGAATATAAAGACCAATATATATTATTTATAAAGCAATGCTGCTTTAACATTATTCACATTTTATTATTTAAAGGTATCATAAGCAGTTGTCACACCTGGCCAATTCAACTCTACAAAGTAACAACTGTCTGAAGTATATACATTATTATTGGCTACTCCAATGAAACCCACAAAGTTTGTCATTTTTTAAAAACAACAACTTTAAACAGCATTGAAAAACTAAATTATTCATTATTGCAGTTGAGCAGAGTAATACACTAATATAACATTGATTTCAAAATCCTAATTATTAAGTCTGCACCACAGCTTTTGAAAACTTTGATTTATAAAATCAAAATCTTATGCAGCATCCCTTGAAGACTGCCTTGAGAGTATTAGTTTACTCAATAGTATGTGGCTGTTCCCAAAAAGGCCAGAAACCCCAAGCAAAACAGCAATGCTAATTTCTGACTCAGGGCTATACTTCTTGCACTGCTGTTTGAGACCTGGGACCAGACACATTTACATTCTTTTCTTATTTGGGGAGGAAAGTAGTTTGGCTATGAAAGGATTGAATAATCTGCTTTGTCTTAACAGAGGGCTAAAACATTCAGGGCTGCCTCTTTCCTGTTGTTCAACTCAAGACCTAATAGCTATTTAATTAATTATTTGCAGTTAATCACTGCAAATAATTCGCATCCATTCATGAAGGGAGACAGTTGGAACACCTCTTAAATGCCTGCACATCATTTTGAACAGTGCCTACTATTGCACTGTTTGAATTGACAGCACATACATTACTTCTTCATTGCAACCGGGCTCTACATAGCTGGAGGGGAGGACTCTTGAGGCTGCCATAGAGTTGTGTTGTGTCATTCCCTTTTCAGTATCTTAGATATTCTCTTGGCCCTTGAGTAATATTAGGGGATGGACGGAACTGAACTCTGAAGTTCTCTTGGCCCTGTATCAGGAGGGGATATGGAAAATTTAAAGTCTGAATGAAACAAGGAAGAAAAATGAATGACTGAATTCTTAAGATACACTCTAGACTCAGCTGAATCCAGCAAGGTGATGAAAAAAGACAAATAATGAAAAGACAATGTGAAGACTGAATCTCGTATTTTGGAACTATAGGAGGGAATGAGTATCGTCTCCCTGGACAAATATGGGAGAGGAGCAGGGCACAAGATGCATATGTGTACAGGTGGTGTTTGTATGATGAAATTATTACATGTGTATTGTCAGTTTGGCATCACTATGGTTTGTTGCAGATATTGTTGATCCTTGGGGAGAGTCAAGTGAACTAAGTAGTCTTCTGAGTCAAGCTTAACTTCTGGTCACTTCATAGTCATGTCCACAATGTTTTCTTGGGAAGAATACTAAACAATTTGCTTTTTTTGGAGTTGTTTTTTTCAACTCTAACCTACAGCTCTGATATTTCCAGGTATTAACCAGATCTGACTCTGCTTAGTTTTTTAAAATCAGTCAGGTTTGGCTATCTGCTGCCACCTAGCAGGGCTACTTTATGTACAATATTATATTCTAATTTTTTCTGTGACTGCCTAGAGTATGCTGTACGATTTCTGACAAAACAAGGCATTGAGAGAGATGGACAACTAACAGATTAAATGAGCAAATAATTGGGTTTCACTATATCAGGCTGCCAGTGAGGGTCTTTTTCTCACAAAATGCTCCTCCATACAGAAAACTGATTTGTCATAGAAAACTAGACTAGAATTATATTTTACGATAAACATATTATAAGATTTCATCTGGAACCTAAAGTAATACAGTACATTCCAGATAGAAGTTTATCTGTCATTGGTAAAAACAAGGCTAATACAGATTTAAATGGAAACTTTGTGTGTCATTTATATTTCCAAGAATTTTCAAGATTAAAGGATTACATGTTAGTAGAATCAACAATGATTGAAGAATGCTACTCCAAGGATTAGTGTACATCATTCTTCTCCATTTTATTTATTACTCTGTGGAGAAGAGGATCAACTTTCAATCACTTATGCCTTCATACTGAAAGAGAAGGCACTACTCAGCAGTTCTAGGTCACTTACTGGTGGAGAGTAAAGGAAGGAAGAAAGAATGAGGCAAGGTACATTATTTCCTCTCATTTGGGAGCATACAGCAATGTGTTTATCTTTTTAATTCCCTGTTTTAGACAAGTTAGGATGACAGGCAGTAACTTTCAAATGAGTTCATGCTTAAGTTGAGATTCCAGATCCAAGTTCAATATGAGGCACATATTATATTGGTTTTCATGATGTAGTACTGAGAGAAAGTTTGTGAAATCTATAACCTGAATCTTTTTAACTATTAATAGGACTTAGAAGAAACTCTGATCACACTATAGGTCACATTACTGCTGGATTCTAATGGATTCAACAGACTTTCTCCCATTGCTGTAGGAATAACTGCTCTCAACATCTACCCATTAGCTAGTCTTCAGGTTTGAATTATGTAAAATATTCTATTAAAAGATCATGGGTTTACCTTTTTGTTCCCACTCTGTGATTTGGTGCAATATCTATTGTATCTGTAGCTGAATCGTGTCTCACTGCCAGACCTAAATCTGCAATGCAACAAGTTCCATTTTTCTTTACTAATATATTTTTTGATTTCAAGTCTCTATGAGCTATAGCTGGTTTACCTGCAATTAAAACACACAGAAGCACTATTAATATCATCAAACAAACAAACCCTGAGTTCTTACTCAAGGCACAAAAGATCAGGCTCAAATTATCCCACTTCAGACACACTATGCAAAGACCTAATTCTCTGGAGAAGACTCTAATGCTGGGAAAGGTGGAAGGAGAGGATGACCAGCAGCAAGATAGAGAAACTCAGTTATGCTGGCAATGAGTGCACAGTTGGAAGACCCGAAAGACCATGTTAGGGACAGATCATAATGGAGAAAATCTATCTATATGCTCGGTAAAAGTTGACAATGACTTGATGGCACATAATCAATATACACAACTTATTTTATTACATATTTAAATTCAGGATGACTGCAGAACTCTGACAATTTGTTTGATGTTAAATGATTTTAATAAATAGTATCTAAACATCTGCTTAATTTTGGAACAATTCTGAAATGATTTTAGAGGGAAATTCATACTCAGGATCTGATAACCTATTTAAGATTATATAAACCAAAGGTATACAAATACTAAATTACCACAACAAATAAATAGTGTATTTAATTAGTATCTAGATGTTTTGACCATTGTATCTTCTTCATTGGAGGGTAATAACAAGAAATGCTTATTTTTCAATACCATATTAATGGGACTTAATTTGTGCAAACTCCAAAATATAATGCATTTCAATCCTGTGTCAATATATATTCACAATGATTATTGTAATCAATTTTTTTGGCTCCTGAGGGGATCATTAAACTTTTTCTAATTTCAGCTTTAAAACAGAAAGTAAACTTATACCAATGACACTGATTAAAGAATCCTTTTAATCAACCTGAATTTAGAAAAGAATATTAGTGTCTATCAAGATTTACTAAATGAACATGAACATGTTTTAAAGCAGGGTTTCCCAAACTGTTAGGTGTGCCTCCTTTGGGAAGTGCAGACAGAGTCCAGGGGAGGTGTGAAGAACCTTTTAGTTACATTGTTACAATAATTCCACCTTTCCCAAAGTTTCATTGTATTGTTTTCATTATTCATTTGTGTTCATTTTGATGTTTGGATTGTTAGGGGAGGTATGTACATTAAGATTACACTGAAGGAAAGTATAATGGCAAAAAGTATAGGAAGTAAAGTACTGTATCTGCTTTAAAAGAATTACAATTTAATCAGAATGCTATTATCTGAAAACAGAGGAAGAGGTATGCCGCATATCTAAGCACTACAAAAAAGAAGTAACTAGAGAATTAGTTCACAATACTCAAAGTTACCCAGTGGTCCTAACAAAAAGGCTAAAATCTTTGAAGGGATAAAATACAGATATATCTCACCTGACATGAGCAACTTATTTCTAATCCAAATAAGCCAGTATTTTACAACATAAGATCCACAAATACACAAAGTCCTTACCTAATGACCACAACTGGGACTGGAATCTTGGTTGCTGAGCAAAGTGGTTGTTAAGTGAGACGCCTACATGACTGCTTTGCTCAATGACTGCAATCCAGGCAATCCTGATTGAGGTTGCTAAGCAATCTCCCACATCGTTAAGTGGATGGAGTGTCTGCTGAAGGATTTCAGCTCAGTGCAGAGCTGAAATCCTCCCGGTGGGCAGCTCTTTGAGAGCAAAAGGGCTGCCTGCCAGACTGTTTCAGCTCCGTGTACAGCTGGAATCCTCCCAGCAGGCAGCCCTTTGGCTCTCAAATGTACCTACAGCCTGCCGAAGGGTTTGCCCTCCTCTCCGTGGACGGAGGGGAAATCCTTCCTGGGGCTGGAGGAATGGAGCTCAGATGTTTGGGATTTGAGCTCCGTTCCTTCACACCGCTGAGGGGTTTCACCTCCCCACTCAGTGGTAGGCAGGAACAAAGCTCAAATCTTCAGGATTTCAGCATTGTTCCTCCCCACTGCCGAGGGGTTTTCCTTCCCCACCCAGCAGTGTGAAGCGTCTTTCTCCTTCGGAAGCTATGCTATGGGTTGGACAGCCCTCTATATGGGGCAGGGAGCCCAAGTTCAACTTGCCTCTTGTTTTGATCACAGAAAAATCTGATATCGGGCTGTTTTCTTCTGACTGGGCAAGAACTAACTCTCACAGCTCTGGCACCGCAGTTAACAAGGCAAAGATGCCAGAAACTGCTAATATCCATCTGATTACAGCTCCCACTTGGACAGAGTATTTCCAGCCATCCCTGTTCTGAAATTATCAAATGATACTTGAAAATAATTTATTATCATGTGGAAACTGAAAAATACCTGACTTCTTTAAGCTCTTTTTTAAAGAGGTGCATTTTTTCCTTCTTTCTAATGCTTTGCTATTATGTCTACTTGTATTCAAGCTGTTAAGACTTTTTTATTATACACTGTTACTTACTTCTGAATGTGTTGAATGTTAACCTCTTATAGCTTTCTGATTTTTTTCCTCTCCCTTCTCCTGGGCTTCTCCATTTTGGCTTTCTTTTTGTAAAATAAATGATGACATGATGTAATAATATGTCATGCGTTGTTGTTCATCTGAGGTCATATTTACCTACTTTTGAGAACTGCTAAGGACCAGATGATTTTTATTATGTCCTGATACGTAAAACCATAGAACTCAAAGAGGGTGTACTTTTTTTTTTTTTTTCACACAACTGTACATATTCTGTTACATATATGTAACAGAAAAACAATGAGTAATATAGGATCTAAAAAATAACTAAGAACAGATATAATAAAATAGAACAGAATAAAAATAGTATTATAAGAAGTTCCAAACTTAATTAATGGTGCGGTATATTGTATAGCCCCTTCATGGATCACTGCCTTGTCGTGGCGAAGGGGCTTGCGTAACTCAGTGAAGC